CTGAGGCAGGCTGAGGCGGCTGAGGCCGAGGCAGGCTGAGGAGGCTGAGGCAGGAGGAGGCTGAGCTGAGGCAGGCTGAGGCTGAGGCTGAGGCTGAGGCTGAGGCTGAGGCTGAGGCTGAGGCTGAGGCAGGCTGAGGCTGAGGCTGAGGCTGAGGCTGAGGCCGAGGCAGGCTGAGGCTGAGGCCGAGGCAAGCCGAGGCAGGCTGAGGCTGAGGCTCAGGCTAATGCTGAGGCAGGCTGAGGCTGAGACAGGCTGAGGCTGAGGCTGAGGCAGGCTGAGGCTGAGGCAGGCTGAGGCTGAGGCCGAGGCAGGCGAATCCTTCGGAATCCTTAGGATTCCCTGGGAATCCGTAGGAATCCCTAGGCCCTAGGAATCCCTCGGAATCAGGATTCCCACGGTTTGCTAAGGATGCCTAAGGATGCCTAAGGATGCCTTAGGAATCCATAGGAAGCCTTAGGATTCCATTGGACCCTAAGGCCGTTGTCACTGCGACTGTCATTGCGAATGCGACTGCGATTGCGAGAACAGCATAATTCTACAACTGGAGTCTCACCTGACTCGTAAGGGGAATGCGCCCAGATATGCTTATACACCTCGCTGTTAGGTTGCTGTGTCGGGATATGTTGTACAAAAGAATCGGGCTGCGCCACTGGGACCTTAGATGGAGCTCCCTATGGGGCCACAACACGTGTGAGGGGTGTGCCAAAATGGGACAGCGCCGCCATGCGGGCTGCGCCACCCTAGATGGAGTTCCCATGAGGCCACGAAACGTGTGAGGGGTGTGCCAACATGGGGCGGCGGGACCTTAGGTGGAGCTCTCTATGGGGCCACCCACGAAATGTGTGAGGGGTGTGCCAACATGGAGCGGCGCCGCCATGCGGGCTGCGGCACTGGGACCCTAGATGGAGCTCCCTATGGGGCCACGAAGCGTGTGAGGGGTGTGCCAAAATGGGGCGGCACCGCCATGCGGGCTGCGCCACTGGGACCTTAGGTGGAACCCCCTATGGGGCCACGAAACGTGTGAGGGGTTTGCCGAAATGGAGCGGCGCCGCCATGCGGGCTGCGGCACTGGGACCTTAGATGGAGCTCCCTATGGGGCCACGAAGCGTGTGAGGGGTGTGCCAAAATGGGGCGGCGGCGCCATGCGTGCTGCGCCGATGCGATCTTAGGTGGAGCTCCATATGGGGCCACGAAACGTGTGAGGGGTGTGCCAAGATGGGGCGGCGGCGCCATGCGAGCTGCGCCACTGGGACCTTAGATGGAACCCCTTTTATGGGGCAACGAAGCGTGGTACTGGGTGGGTGAAACGCAGGGAGGAGGGAGAACGGGGAGAAGGAGGGAGGAAGGAAGGAGGAGAACGCGGGGACCGTCTCCTCAAAACGAGGACCCAACACCACAGGATGGTTGGGAACATATCGTTTCCAGTAGCTTTCAGCTCCCAACCATCCTCTTCCTCATCGTGTTCCTCCTCCTCCTCCTCCTCCTCCTCCTCCCTCTCCTTGTCCTCTTCAGAATTAGAAGGATCCCTTTTGTATTCCGCCACTACAGGATTCCCTTGTTCACTCCGCCACAGAGGGGATCCTCTCGCACTTTGCCACACCGGGAGTCTTCCTGTACTCGGCCACCAGAGGACGCCCTTTCTATTTCGCCACACCAGGAATCGGTTCGTAATCAACCACAGAAAGACTGCTGCTGCATTTTGCGGCACAAGGAATCCCTTATCATTCCGCCACAAACGGAATCCAATGCTATTCGGCTGCGCAGGGACTTTTTTTTCCACCCCATCACAAGGGGATCATTTTTGTATTCGGCCACAACAGGAGTCTCGTTGCATTCCGCCACATCAGGAACCCCACGGTAATCAACCAAAGAAGGGTTCCTCTTGTATTTTGTCACACAAGGAACCCGTTTGTAATCCACAACAGAAGGAATCCTTCAGTACTCGGCCACAAAAGGCATCCTGTTCAGTCTTCTGCCAAAAGGGAATCCTGCTGGATCCCGCCGCAAGGTGAATCTCTTTGTTTTCGGCCACGAACGGTTCTTGTGTTTGAAAAATCTAGACGCTTCGCGTATCCCCACCAGTGGTATTCTGCGCTTTTTCGGCGGAGCAGCTCAGCTAGCAACACACGCCGTTGGCGCGGCTTGGGCTTGGCGCCCCACTGGCGACGGCCCATCGTTTACCACGTCTGGCCGCCACAGCGCGTAACACAGAATTCCCCGGCATTTTGCCGCAGGGCTGCACGTTGCTTGAGCTTCCCTGGGCGTTCCAGTTCAGCCAGCCAGCCACCCGCTGCCGCTGCCCCAGCTGCCGCGTCTGTGAACTGGCCCGGCCGGCTCGTGCTGCGCTCAGTAGCTAATTAGGTTTGCCCGTCGGCCCGGACAACTTCTCTCGCCGCTTGCGCGCTCGCTGGTGGCTGCGACCAAAACAAGTATCCCCACCAGCCCATCCAGAAACGACGCCCAGGCGAATAGAGGGTCGTCCTGAGGGGCTTTTCGGCGTTTTGGGTGCCTCGGGGGAGCCTCTTTGGGCGGCTTGGGATCATCTTGGGGGGCTCCTGGGGGCCTCTTGGGGCCTCTTGGGGCCTCTTGGGGCCATCTTGGGTCCTCTTGGGGCCTCCTGGGCGCTTTTTGGGGCCATCATGGAGGACATCGATCAAAGAAGATCGGAGATTCAATGAGGGTTGCCCCCTTCAGGAGGCCAACATGGGGCCAAAACCCTGGTAAAATCAATGCTTTAGGCTTCAAATAATAGGGGAGATTCAATGAGGGTTGCCCCCTTCAGGAGGCCAACATGGGGCCAAAACCCTGGTAAAAAAAATGAGTGTGGCTTAAAAGCAGTGCGGAGCATTAATTAGCCTTGCCCCCCCAGGAGGCCAAAATGGTGCCAAAACCATGGTGCATTCAATGATGTTGGCTTCCTCGCCGAGGCCGTTTTGGACGCCCTGACCGCTCGCGCCCCCCCCCCCCGTCCAGGCCCACGGGGAAGGGGTAGGGGGAGGGGTAAACCTCTTCCCCGAAGGGGAAGAGGGAGGGGTGGAAGAGGAAACGTTCTAAACCACCGACGCCCGCAGGGCTGGTGGGATTCCGCCACATAAGGAATCCCTTGGCAATCGACCGCAGGCAAAAAAAGAGTTCCTCTTGCACGCTGCCACAGAAGGAATCCTTTAGCAACCCATTACAGAAGCAATACAGTAGTATTCAGCCATAAAAAGGATTTGTTTGCTGTCTGCAACAAGGAGATGTTTTGCACCCGGCCGCAAGGATAACCGCCTAGCATTCGGCAGCCAAAGAAAAGATCGTTGCATGTCGCCACATAAGGGATCCTTTGGTAATCCAGCACATGAGAATTTCTGCGATATTCACCCACAAAAAAAGCCCTGCGTAGTCCGTCGCACAGAGGAATCCCTTTGCAACAGGAATCCGTTGGTAATCAACCACATTAGGATTAGGTTCGTATTTTGCCACATAATCAATCTCTTAGTAGTCCACCACATACGAAGTCCTTATGTACTCCGCCACAAGAGGAACCATTCAGCATTCTGCCACAAGGGGAACCTTTTTGTACCCGGCCACAAACAAGATTCTCACTTCATCCCGCCACATAAGGAATCCCTTGATAAGCACAGAAGGATTCCTTTGCATTCTGCCACGAGACACAAGACATCCTTTCTAGTAGTCCGCCACATATGGAATCATGCTGTATTCCGCCACAAGAGGAATCATGTAGCATTCTGCCACGCCGAATCCTCTTGTATTCCGCCACCAGGGAAGCCCTTTTTTGTACTCGGCCATAGGAGGATTCTTGTTGTATTCCACCAAAAAACAAGTTCCTTGGGCATTCACCACTGAATGATTATCTTCGCACGTCACCACAAGAGGAATGCTTCTGCATTCTGCCACAAAGAGAATTTTTTGCATTCTGCCACAACGGGGACCCTGTAGCATTCTGCCGCAAAGACATGCTCTTGCATTCCGAATTCGCTAGTCCGCCACCAAAAGAAAAAGCGCATTGCAAAGGTATCCCCCCTGTAGTGGAAGACAAAAAGGTTAATTATAGTGTGGTATAAAACAAACTTTTGTTCTGAACCAATATACATCGGTTCCCTATGAGGTTGATTACAAAACGATGTCGTTCGTTGCTTCGTTGGACAAAACTGTCACGTTCCTCCTCTATGCTCTTTCCTCCGTTTCTCATCCTCCGCCTCCTCGCTCTCCCCCTCATCCTCTCTCTTCCTCCTCCTCCTCCTCCTCCACTTCCTCCTCCTCGTCCTGTCTCCTTCCCTCCATTATGTCATCCTTTGAACGCGTACTTGTTTCTCAAAGCACTGCGCCCAAGAGCCTGCAGGAGGACGCCCAGTGGGGGGTCTGCTGAAACCTACCGAAGCCGGCGCGTGAGATGCTTATTCACCACACGAGATGGACCCTAGACGGAGGCGCGAGTCGAGACGCGGGCTGCCACGACTCCACACTCACGCGCCCCCGCCTCTGCGGAGGCGGCACTGCGAGCGTGGCCCTCGAATCCCCCTCTAGGGCCGAGGGGCCACACTCCCCGAAAGTTGGAAAAGCAAAGCTCCAGAGCAAACGGAGGAGACGGGGCCTGCGGTGGCAGCAGCAGCGCGCGGGAGTTCATTGGTTGTCCCTCGCCTCATTGTAGGTCACGGTCCGCCCCTCGGACTTGATAACAATAAGGTCCACCAAAGATCTCATCGCCACTGAGGTCCACTTGGCCTCGGAGAAAGGATAAGCGTAGCACAACCCACCTCGTCGAGTGAGAACTGCGTGAAGTACTGGGCACACAGCGGTAAGCCATGTAACCTATTGCTTGGGAAATCCCCTTACAAGAGGTACTCATCTTCATATGATATGTTCAGCCGCGCTTACTGAAGATACTCTCTGACGTTTGAAAAGAAGTGGCAAAGTCAGTGAGGATGCACGTCTGCGAATATCCAAGGCGGCTTTCATCGGCTTCGTCGTGATTATTTGCGGCGAGACTTCTTCTTGCCGTCTTCTGCGGGCTTGCGACTGTCGCGAAAGGCGAGCTGCTCGATCTGTTTGGCAATCTTGGAGCGAGGGCCGTGATCGTGACCGAGCAGCACGCTGACCGACTCCATCCCGCCGTTGATGCGCAGCACCGTCAGCGCGTGCTTGAGATCCACGTGGTGGTTGCACGCCCAGATCCAGCGCACCTGGTCCTCGCCCTCGCTGTTGAGCTTGATTTTGAAGCATCTCGCGGCCTTCACCATGAAATCTGGACTCTGAACGTTGGTGCCCCACCGCTCCAGGACGCTCACGGCCTCGGCGGCTGCCTTCGGATGGGGCCCCTGCTCGATTGCCGACATCAGCTTGGCACGATCGTTGGTGGCGGCCTCGGCGAGGCGGAAGATGACCATCTTGAACAACGCATCGGGCTTCTTTCCAACGCACACCTTTACCAACTTCCCCCGGGGAGGGGCGCAGGATGAGGACCCCCAGGGAGGGGCGCAGGATGAGGATCACGAGAGGGGGCAGGAGGAGGAAGAGAAGCAGGAAGAAGGAGCAGGTGGAGGAAGAGAGAGATGATGAGGATGCTCCCCCCTCCCTCCCAGACCGTCGTTGGGGGGTGCTGCGGGGGGGCGAATCTGGGAAATCCTCGGAGTTGTGTCCATTTGTGCGTGTCCTCCTGGGCGCCTTGATCTACGCACCTGGCCCCGCACCCTGTGCGTGCGGCCTCCGACAGGACGCCTCCCTCTCGCTGCACGTGGGCCCGGACCCCCCCTCCTGGGCCCCGGCGCCGGGCCCTGCGGCGGCGCCGGCGGAGGAGGGCCCCGCGCCGCCCGCCGGCGAGAGCGCCGGCGCCCCCGCCGACGGCGCACCGGGGGGCGCGGACGCCGCCCCGGCCGACCCCCTCGCCGCTGTGCCCGGCGACTGGACGGTCTCCAGGGAGGAATGGAGAGCGTGCCGATGCCGGCGGCGACGGGAGCCATGTGCACGCGCCCACCGCTCCAGGCCTGGCCCATCCTGGGCCCGGGAGCTGCGGATGTGTGCGCCTCCCTGGCCAGGCCGGGAGGGCAGGTGTCGCAGCTCCGTGGGCGCAGGGCGGGTCGGGCCCGGAGCAGTGGAACTGTACAGGTATAGATCTCTTTGCCCGAGGCTTCTCGCCCAGGATCCCAGGGGCAGCGTCCGGGGGGCCTGGGTTCCTGCCGGGCCGGACGTATCCTCCTCCTCCTCCTCCTCCTCCTCCTCCTCCTCCTCCTCCTCCTCCTCCTCCTCCTCCTCCTCCTCCTCCTCCCTCTCCTGGGGGGGATTGGGAAAGGGGGGGTGACGAAATTTGCTGCATGCAGCTGGTTTCGGCCTCACCGAGGGGCCCATTCCTCGACACATGGCCGCCTCCGGCGCCGGGAGGCGCCAGGAAAATCGGCTGCGTGAGCTGATTCTCAAACCCCCCTTTGCTATCCCCCCCTTTCGCCCGACCCGATCATGGGGGGTGCGCATCGACTCCAAATCGCCCATGTATCGCCGACGGGGGCCCGATAGCCAACCCCGCCCACGAGAGTGTGGACTTGCTCTCGGGGGCCTGTCGCCGAGCCATCGAGGATGGATCACAAAGTCCAAGTCGATGTGTCTCCCTCTGAGCCCGTCACCTTCTAACCTTGCCCCTCACTCTCTCCGTCTCGCTTTCAGGGAAGCACGGGTCCCAGGGTTTGGCGCCTTTTTAGGGGTCCCCATCGGCCCAGGGATTGTCCGAAAACGGCTCGGGACGAAAAGGTGGTCCTCTGGTTCCAGGACTTATTTCCCTCAAGACCCGTTTGTTTCATGCCAGTCTGTCGTCCTTGCCTCCTCGGTCCGCCCGGGGGAGTGGACGGGTCTAGGCCTCCTAGATGGGGTCCGAGTAGATGGGGTCGCAGGATCGCGCCGCGATTCCGATGCGTCGACGATGCGGCTCGATGTGGATGCAGACGTCGCAGATGCATCGCCGATGTCGCCGAGGCATCTCCGATGCATCGGCAATGTATCGCCGATGTATCGCCGATGCGGCGCGATCCTCCCGACCCCATCTACTCCGACCCCATCCAGGAGGCCTCTATTTGGGCCCCCAGGAGTCCCAGGTCGCGTTGGGATCTCTCAGGATCGACGACGCATGTGCCCCTCCGTCTCATCCGAGCCAGGATTTCTCATCGTGCCTGTCCAATGTATGCGTTGGGTTCGTATCCGTAACGATGCAGGCGGTGACCCTAGCGCGGATGTTCGAAGTTGAACACCCCCAGCAGCCTAGAATCGCCAGTTACTGATGGCGCTGGTTATCGGGAAGTCTTGGTGGCTCAAGTCTAGGCCTCCTAGATGGGGTCGGAGTAGATGGGGTCGGAGGATCGCTCCGCATCGCCGATGCATCGGCGATGCGGCTCGATGTCGAGCCCGATTTCCTTCACGTCGACGTCACCGATACATCGCCCACGTCGACGATGCATCGCCGGTGCATCGCTGACGGATCGCCGATGCATCGCCGATGTACCGGCGATGCGGCGCGATCCCCCGACCCAATCTAGGAGCCTCTATCACTGTTGATCAATCCACGCGGTGTCAGGTAACGGTTTTCATCGCGAACGGGGCTCAGCCAGAGCGACAGTTCTTGAAGGATCCTACAAAGACGGATTTCGATTGAGCCCGGTTTGGGAGCCGACTGCGGCCCTGGAGGTGGCCTTCCATTTGGTTGAGTTGGGTTTGGGAAGCCCCCCAATAAAGTGCAGCGCAATTGTTTGTAAATCAGCTGAGCCGGGCTTGCGCTGAGCTGGATGAGTCTGCGCCTAAAGCGTGCCGTAGCAGTTTCGATTTCTCTTTGTTCCCACAGGTCCGTGACGTGGGTGCCGAGACGCTGGAGGCCCTCTTCCAAAGGATGCGGCTCTGCCGCGGTGTGCTGTGGGAAGGGGCGCTCGGCGACTGCAGCGGGGAGAGCGGGAGGAGGGCCACCAGGGCGTTCCTGGCGGAGGTGCACCGCAGGCTAGAGGGCGGCTCCGAGGAGGCCGACGAGGAGGCATCGCTGCGAAGAAAATGATGAGCCTGTTTTCCACCACCACCACCATAAGTTGGTGGGGGGAAGGAGGTGGAGGATGAGGAGGAGGAGGAAGAGGAGGAGGAGGTGGAGGAGGAGGAGGAGGAGGAGGAGGAGGAGGACCCGCTCCCCTTCCTACTTATGGTGGTGGTGGTGGAAGACAGGCCCACCAGAAAAGGGTTAAACTGCGGGAAAATCAAACAAGCGTGACTGCACAGCTCAGCAGCACTGACGCCTCGGGCATGCACTGACGCCTCGGGCATGCACTGGATCCCCCAGCGGCGCCGCCCCCGGGGGGCACAGCGCCGACCCAAGAAATCCGCGCACGGAGTTCCGAGAATGTCTGTTGATGCTGATGCCTGCTCCCCAACGAGAGAGAGAGTGCACTGAGAGAATTTTGTGTCGCAGTCGAGAAATGGAGTCGGGTCTCCTGGACTCTCGTGCATTGGTCGCCCGTGGCCTGGCCCGCTCGTGGCCGCCCCGCGGCCGGCCCGCACGTCGGCTGGGTCCTCTCTTCGTCGCCCAGCGGCCCCTCTGCTTATCCCCGAGCAGTGCTCACACCAATGTGTCTCTTTTTCCCGGTTCTGGGTAGCATGCTCGGTTTTCGCCGATGGCCGCCCCTGGCCGCCCCGTGCGCTGACTGGGTGTTCCGCCTGTGGCCGTCTTGTGGCTGCCTCGTGTGCTGGCTGGGTGTTCTGGGTTTTCCGACTTGGTGCGCGTTTTCGGATTATCCGGCTACTACGCACCACATGTCAAGCATCAAACCGCGTGCACTAGCTGCATTCCACCACACACTGTACACCAAACAACTTCGACTTCTTATCTTGCACCATGTTGAACTTCCTGCCAGAAAAGGAACAGACTCCCCCTTCCCCCCCACCCAGGGTGATCGGCCCGCCCTAGAACATTGCAGATTACATGTGCTCCTGACTCGTCGTTCATGCTTCATTCGAATCCATACCATCTCAGAGTCACGCACACGCGTACATCTGGGAAGATCTGTTCAGAATAATCGAATGCAAAATAGGCACATGTTTAACTGGCGTGCGCATGCAGAATTCATACCAAGCACGCAAGATTGCAAGCACCTCAAGATTAAAAACCAGCGCGAAGCTTGCAGAGCTTCTGCCCGCGCGCATTTGCTGAAATCAGATAAGAGTCATGTGATTTTGGCAATATCGCAATATCGCCCAGAACATGCAGTCTCATCTCACCACACGGTGCATCCACGTTGGTTCAGCATGCGCCCGATGCACGAATTCGTATCAGGTAATACCACTCGGGCCACACGCACGCGCCGCCACTCGCGCGTGCCGAAATCCTTCCAACACCATCAGATTTCGAAGCGTGTCAACATAGAGCTCTTCAAGACATTTGAAGACAACAAATGTGGTTTCTAACCTTCGATTATTCTTGCATTTCCGCGCGCGCGCCCTGCCTCACCATCACCTTCATCAGCGCCACCGCCTCACCGTCCGTCCCGGCATCCACCGTCATCACCGACACATGGACATCATCATCGCCATCGTCGACACAAGCATTTGCGCCGTCATTGGCTTTGACGTCGCCCTCGCCGTGGACCCCACCATCGTTGTTAACATCATCGTAACCGCTGTTGTCGACGTCGCCATGATACTGCACCCGCCCAGGTCACCGATCCGCCTTGAAGTGCCCGCGCGCCAGCGCGGCCTTTGAGACGCGCTGGGAAGCTCCCACGGGTAAGCGCCATCGCGTCCGCGTCGGATATGCCAAACAAGTTGGCCAAGTCGAGCTTGCGCGCGCCACCGCCTCGCAGAGATGCGTCAGCCAGTGCCAAGTAGTCACCGCAATTGCGGCCGCATGGGGTGTGCAAAACAAGTTGCGGGTGGTGGGGTGGGATGCTTGCGCGAGCAGTGCAGTTGACGATTCCAAGGTCTGCAAGGTGGACTGCGCTTCGTAGGTTCCGCCACGTTGATTGGACCACTTGCTCGCACCACGACGGTTCTCCTTTCCAACAAGAGAATGCACTCCCCCTCCGCCCTCCCCTCCCCAAGAGTATCGCTTTTTTTCCTGGGATATTGCAAATTGCACACTGTTCTCCTTCACCGCCCCCTTTGCATATGATATCAGACCATCACAAGGAGTACCCGTTTCGACCCCCTTCACCGCCGTGTAATAACACGATCCGCATACATTCGTTCATCGCCTAAGATTTAGTTCCAAGGGCCCTCGCACAAAAATGAGTCAAAATCCTCACGCGTGCTTCGCCGCGCGCGTATATCGGAGCGCATCCACAACCTTAGTCCGCGCACGGGTTTGACGATTGAGGTTGTTGGGCACCGATGGAACACATCGGTGATGCCACACTTGTTTTCACAACTATGCGTGTGGATTCTCGCGCATTCTTCTAAACACCACAAATTCTTTCAACTGCTTCCCCAAAGGACCACGCGTGCCTGTCGCGTGCGCGTGTCGAAACCACTCGAGCGCCCTATGCGCGTTTGTTGTGGGGCGCGGCTCCTGCCAACTAGCCCCACGCGGGCCAATCGCGCGCGTCCTCGCCATATGCGAACGACCACGGCACAACCCAGCATACATGAAAGGTTTGCCCCTTCCTCGGCGTTGACATTTCTCGAGATATTATCAAAATCTGGCCGATTACTGCGAGGTACCCACAGGGCACGATCAGTTGCAGATTTGGTTGTGCCGCGCCTGGCATATTTTTCACGTTCGACTATCCGTTCACAGAGCCTCTTTTCCAGGACGTGGTCAATCCTCTCCCTTCATAGCACAGCCATCTTCAAGGACACGATGGGCGTTTCCTTCACATCCCCCGAGCACTTTTCAAATAACATTGCCTTGCATGGCTTTCAGCCCGTGCCAGATATTTTGCTCTCCGTTTTTTTATTACCTATGAAGCGAAAGTTCCGTGGGCCTCGGGAGACTCGAGAGCTTCATGAGGAGCCGCGCCCGTGTTGTGGCCAAACAGTACCCAGCGCTCCGCGAGGCTCTCTAAGAGGCACCAGACATTGCCGTGGTCGCCGATGTCATCGTCACCATCATCACTTGCACACCCAACTTGTGGATTTGCATGATAAGAGTCATCGCGCCATCGCGCCAGTTGATCGTGCCATGAGGTTGTGGGTGTGTGGATGGGATGTTTGCTCCCAGTGGGGCTGACGATTTCACCGTCCTCAAAGTTTTAATCACATATATTGCACCAAATAGGTGGCAATACAGTCGCCTGAACAACATCGTTCGCCCCCCCCCCCCATACATACATATATATATATATACATATATATACATACAAGACTGCAGTGGCGCTTCGCGCCATGCACATTGGTCCTTGAAGATTGCTACGCAGGCGGAAAAGGCAGGAAGGTCAAGCGGACACTTTAACGATAACTCTTTGCTGTTTTTCAGGCATCGCCGTTATAATAATGCTGTTCGCTATCCTTTATCCATGCTTATGTTCTTCATTCTCGCCATACCCTGGGCATTCTCCCTATCCTCCTCAGCTCTTTTTGCGGAGGCTCCTCCTTGGAGAGCCTCTGGGAGCCTCACCAAAGTTCTCAAGCTTTCTTAAAGCCTTCTGGAGGCTTCCTGGGCGTGTTCTGGGGGCCTCTGGGGCTTCCTAAGGCCAACCTGCCTCTAACCGCGGTCTCCCTGAACGCCCCGGTCACGATTTGGAATGCTTCGGAGGGTGTCTTGGGGCCATCTTGGGCCGCCATGGGGCTCTCTTAGGGCCAATTTGGACATCTGGTGTGCCCTTTTGGGGCTCTCTTGGACTGTCTGGAAGCCCTTTCGGATGGCTGTGGGGCGATTTTGGAGCCTCCCAGGCGACTTCGGACGCCCAGAAGACCGCTGTCTTGGAGCGTCGGGAAGCCGAAAAGAGGAGAACCCCAAATTCACCAAAAACCTACATTAAATCAATGACTTTTCCCTCTCGGGGCCTTCTTAGGGGGTGCTCTTGGAGGCCTCTTGGTACGTTTTGGAGCGATCTTTCGGGGTATGACGGCTTCTTGGAGCGCTCTTGTGCTGTCTTAGGGTTCCCCAGGACGTAGGACGTCTCCGATGACCCCCCTGATCGCCCTAGGTGTGCTGCGAAGGCTTATATGTATTGCACCTGTAGCCGACATCGAGAATGCAACGAGTCTGTTGCTTGGGATCCGCGTTGGCGGATATTATTCCAACATAGATAGAGAGAGCGAGAGAGAGAGAGAGTGAACCCTTCTGGATATGTGATCCACAGGCTTCCCTTGCCGATTTCGTGCTCCTGGGGTCGTCAACGAAACGACCCAGGACGAAGCGCTAATCGCCTGGGGAAAGCCCCGGATTGCAGGACCCGGTTCTTTCAGGACTCTTACTTGAGATCCGACGTAGTGAAAGAATTGCAACATCGCGACAAGTCATGACCAGAACCCTAAACCTCTTATTGTTGCATGTTTCGAGCCGTATCGATATGTGATGGTCCGTCCTATCGCCCAAAGCCTGGCGAAAACGTCTGGCGTGCAGAAAAAATGCAACGCCCAGATCTCAGGGCCATCCCACAGGAAGAGGAGGAAGAGGAGGACGAGGAGGAGCCCGCGGAGCCGAAGCCGCCGAAGCCGCCGCCGAAGCCGCCGGCGGCGGAGTTCGGAACCGCGGTCGTCATCGGAGCCGAAGCCACGCGGCTGCTGAACGAGCTGCCCGAGGTGACCCCAGCGGTCACCTTCGCGTCTGGGTCTGGAGAGGGGTGGCCGCGCTAAAGGGTACCTGCCCTGCCTCCCTCAGGGGGGAGCCCAGTCTCCTTCGCGTCGTGCACACATCACGACGAGCCGTTTTTTCTTATATTTCTGGCTTGCGGAAGCACCGGTCCCGTGGAAAGGGTCCAGGCCGACCTATGAACCCACGTATTTTTTTGAAACAAAACATGACAATATTAGAACTGAATATTATTTTGGGGATTTGGGACGGGATGAGGAGGACGAGGAGGAGCAGGAGGAGGAGGAGGAGGAGGAGAAGAGGAAGGAGGAGGAGGAGGAGGAGGGAGAGGAAGAGAAGGAGGAGGAGGAGGAGGAGGAGGTTTTTCCTCTTCTTTCGTCGTCGTCCTCCTCCTCCTCCTCCACCTCCTCCTCCTCTCCCCTCCTCCTCCTCCTCCTTCTTCTCCTCCCAGGAGAGGGGCTGCTGCGGATGCTTCGCGGCGAGCCGCTTCCAGGGCTGAGGGCCTGCGCCCAGAGGTGAGGCCGTGGCGCGCGGGGCGCGGCTCGCCTCCCCGCCCCACGGCGAGGGCGAGGCGAGGCACGCGCCCGGCTGCCACCTTCGGATCCTGCTGCGTTCCGGCCACGCGCAGAGGGGCTTAGGCGACCCGTCCTCCTCCACCTCCTCCTCCTTCCACCTCCTCCTCCCTCCTCCTCCATCTCCATCTCCTCCCCCTCCCCCTCCCCCTCCTCCACCTCCTCCTCCTCTTCCTCCTCCTCCTCCTCCTCCTCCCTCCTCCTCCTCCTCCTCCTCCTCCTCCTCCTCCATCTCCTCCTCCCCTCCTCCACCTCCTCCTCCTCTTCCTCCTCCTCCTCCTCCTCCTCCTCCTCCTCCTCTCCTCCTCTTCCCCCTCCCCCTCCCCCTCCCCCTCCTCTACCTCCTCCGCCTCCTCCTCCTCCTCCTCCTCCTCCTCGGGTCGCCTACGGCCCTGGGGAAAACCGTGCAGGGGTACGTTTGCTGGTTACCGTCTCTGGATCCAACTGCGTTGCCGCGAATGCAGTGGAGACCCATGCCAAGAAACACACCCCGCTTGCCTCCAGGGTGCCCCGGGTTTCTTGGGTTTCGATGGTCTTGCTGTGGGCAGCGTGACGTTCCCACGCCAGAAATCCTGGGGTGGGTTTGGTTTCTTGTGAAGGGTTTCTTGTGGTCGAGCCCCTACTGCAGGTGGAGGGGGGAAGGCTTCTTAGAAGCGCCCCTGCTTCGAAGGCGCTGGCCTTCTCTATAGATGCTAGGCTGGCGCCTTGAAGAAGCAGCCTCCTTCTAAGAAGCCTCCCCCCTACCCCTACCCCCCTCTACGCTCCGCCAAGCGTTCCTGCGCACATGCGCTGGTGTGTGCCGAGGGTGCTGCTAGTGGGGCACGGATCCTGCCGAGGGCGGGCGAGTGGTCCGCAGAAACCCAGACATGGCCTGAGGAGCGTGGATCGGCCGCGGGTCCCGCTTCTGTGCGGAACAGGCGGGCCCTGTCGCCACATCGGGCGGCACTCCCCTCATGCTTCGGACGGCACCTTCCCCGATCCGTGGCTCAGGTGCCCACGCGCCAGGTCCACGGATCCGTAGTCCATGTTAGCCCGTGCCCGAGCGAGGACTCGGGAGGGATGCGTTGATTGATTATTGTTCGGATCCAGTGGCGCCGCCGCGCGCACGCTCCGGTGTGCGTGGGTCTGTGTGCCGCAGGGGGGGCGGCTGCTCGTGGCGGGGGGGGGGCCAGGGACCGCCCTTGCGGGTCGGCGATGGCAGGAGGGGGGTACGTGGAGGGTTTCTCCGAAGGGCTGAGGCGACCCGTCCTCCTCCTCCTCCTCCTCCTCCTCCTCCTCCTCCTCCTCCTCCTCCTCCTCCTCCTCCTCCTCCATCTCCTCCTCCTCCATCTCCTCCTCCTCCATCTCTCCATCTCCTCCTCCATCTCCTCCCCCCCCCTCCTCCTTCTCCTCCATCTCCTCCTCCTCCTCCTCCTCCTCCTCCTCCTCCTCCTCCTCCTCCTCCTCCTCCTCCTTCTCGTCTTCCTCCTCCTCCTCCTCCTCCTCCTCCTCCACCTCCTCCTCCTCCTCCTCCTCCTCCTCCTCCTCTCCTCGGGTCGCCTACGGCCCTGGGGAAAACCGTGCAGGGGTACGTTGGCTGGTTACCGCCTTCGGATCCAACTGCGTTGCGGCGCATGCAGTGGAGACCCATGCCAAGAAGCACAACCCGCTTGCCTCCAGGGTGCCCCGGGTTTCTTTGGTTTCGATGGTCTTGCTGTGGCAGGCGTGACGTTCCCACGCCAGAAATCAATGGGCGTCCTGGGGCAGGTTGGGTTTCTTGTGAGGGGTTTCTTGTGGTCGAGCTCTTACTACATCCGACGATACTGCGGAATCAGACGCATCGGACGGGAGCGCGGGCCGCCCCATTCAGGACATTCGGGTGAGTTCCATTCGGTTTTTTGCTGGAATTCCAGAGGGGCGTCGCACGAAAAATGGAGGCATGCGGCATCCTGGCACCTGTGGACTGGCCCGTGGCGGCGATTCGCATTTGCTGCAGTTCATTTGTGATAACAATGTTTCGGCGGTAGCCATGTTTCACAGCAGCCCAGGGCAAAGGTATCGCAGCAACCAGCGTTCGTGGCAAACCCACGGCAAGTGCTAGTCGGTGCAAGATGATGCAAGGGACGGTCGTGGCCAACAAGGATGGCAAGCCAGAGTGAGCAGACGTGGCAAACCTCAGTGGTGGCTAGTGGTTGCAACCAGTCAGATACATAAAACTGAACCTGGCGTGGCCCAAGTTGGGCGTCTTCTTTCTCCCAAGGCATTGCAATGCAAATGATTGTTTAGTATTGCTTCGCATTGAATTGGCGATGCTTGGCATTGCTTGGCACTGGTTTGCATTGCTGGCCAGTGCTTGGCATTTCCGGACAGTGCTTGGCATTGCTTGGCATTGGCTTGCGTTGGTTGGCATTGCATTGCGTTGATCGGTGTTGCTTGGCATTGCTAGCCGTTTCTTGGCATTGCTTGGGACTGGTTCGGCATTGGCATTCATTGAGTTTGCATTGCTTGGCGTTGCTTGACATTGTTTGAAACCGCTCCTTGGAATTACTTGGCATTGCTTGGCATGGTTTAGTATTTCTTTGCATTGTGTTGCATTGCCTGGCATTGCTTGGCACTCATTCGGTTTTGCTTTGCTCGGCATTAATTGGCACTGTTTTGAACCGTTGCTTGGCGTTGCTTGGCTCTGCTCCTCTGCACTGCGCGGCGTTGCCTGGCACTGTTTGGCACCGCTTGGAGAGCAACGAGAGGGAAACCCGAGGACCCTCGGGCAGCGCATGGGGGCGGATGAATCCCGAAGAGCCACACCAAGGAACTCTAAAAAACGCTGGCGGGGAAGGATTCCGCGCACACCAGTCGGGACGATCGGAATGGGTACGGAAACAACGGATACAAAGTCCAACAGAAGTTCTTGTTCATTCTGAACCGGATTCGTTTTGGGCGTCGTCGCGGTCGTCGTCTATTTGAGACAGAAGGCCGCCTGACGAAGAGTGGCCGCTGTCGGTTTTTGACAACCTTTGTTGATGGGCATTGTACTTGGTTTTTTCGTACCCATCTCGGGCGTCCAAAACATACAGGCAAGATCATGCTACGCAATAGCCTATTTGAGGAGCACCGTCGAGCGATTTCAGGCGCCAGTTGCAGCAAGCGAGGGCGTTGGCCAGTATCGGATACAGATACAGTACTGCAGCACAGAATGTGTCGTCAACAAGTTGTTCGAGGCAAACCATACAAGCGGCCAGTGACGGCAATCGGCATTGGCGGCAACCCACAGCAACAGTATTCGGCGGCATCCAGTTGGCATGGCAAAGTGGAGCAACGGCTAGCGGTGGCAACCAGCATCCGTGGTGTGCCAGAGAAGCGACTCTTGGCAGCAACCGTCTGCAGTGGCAAGCGAGATCAGTAGCTAGCGGTGGCAGCATGAGGAGGAACAATTTTTGGATTAGGGTCAGTTTTGCTCGGATTGCGCATGCGGGTTGGCGGGTTGCGCGAGGAATCTGGCACCAGCGTCCCTTTTTCATGGAAGCCATTGGCGACCAAGCATTTGCTCTCCAAATGACGCTTCCATGGTTGCGCGTACAGGCTGCCCATGCGGGTTGGCGAGCTGCGCATGGTGTCCAGCACAAGCACACGCCCTCTGCAATGGCGTTTATCATTTGGCGCGTTTGCTCAGCCGCCCGAATATGTTACTTCACGCCCTTTAAGAATAACGCTGGTGGGAACATTGCCCAGATGTTCACGGGCACCCCAGAAAACGCTCTTTGGGCAGCGTTTTCTTTGTTGCGTTGGCATACCCGGCCAACTTGAACGATTGTGACACGTGCGGTTTAGTTCAGCATGCTCCCTCTTGTTCTAGCCTGCGCGGGGTTCACAGTGAGCGCACTCGAGTCCAGGAGGCTGCGGCACACGGGGCTGCCTTCGGCGCAGACACAGGGCTGTCCCGTCACGCTCTCCCTTCAGGTCTTCCTCCCCGTCCTCGCACGCCCACGCGGGCAGGCACGTCTCGGGTTGAGTTCGGCCCCAGCTCTGGGGCCCGTGAAGCTGTGCGCTATGCGGGTGCATGTGCACTCGCCTACAGTCGGGGCCTTGAAGAAGGAACGCTTTTCGTTGGGGAGGGGCTCCGCATTCCTTAAGTGTTTCACAGCTTGCCTCAGGTGTTCCTTATGTTTTCGATCGGAAATGGAAGTTTGACGTATGGAAAAAAAGGCGCCTCGTTCCTTATTTAGGGTTCCTTAGGTCAACGCCCCGACTGTAATATGCGAGCGCTCATGCGTAAACTGGCGGGAGGGTGCGGTGCGCACGCGTTCTCTGTCAAGGGGGTCGCGAGCAGGCTCTCGGCAGGTTCTCGCCCCTTCCAGCCCGCTGCCCTTTACGTGTGGATCCCACCATCCCACCATTTGTTGCCTTTCTGCACACACGCCTTAGCACGAGCGATCAAGCTTCTCCGTTCCTTGTGCACTTGCTGGATATTCCACGGACTGATGTGGGGCTCGGCCAGTTCAGCATCTGAAGCATGGGTCCAAGAAAAGTCGTTCAGTCTTGTTGCAACCGCTGTGCTCATCTACGCCGATGCTGGTCGAATGTGCGTTGCACACGTTTCCCAGCCAATACCGAGTCTTACATGGCATGGTGGATTTTGCGTGTCCATTCGTATCTTGCAGGCACGTTGGTTAGCCAGCCAGGTCTGTCGAAGGCATATGATGTAGCAGGGCATTCTGGAGTCCTGCCTCCATCGAAAAACATCGTGGTGGTTGGGCGCCCAGTTTTTCAGGAACGGGTTTCAGGGACAGGAAATCACGTGCTGCTCCACGGATCAAATTGCGATCAAATTGCGCGACAGGGCAGCCGTACGTGACATTGGGAGTCTGAATAGCCTCCCGAATATTTCAGTGGCATGTCGAATGGCATTGCATGTGCGTGTGCGTCGAAAGGTGTTATGGTTTCCATCCGGATTTAGCTGTAAGCTTTGAGAGCAAAGAGCACGCCAACCTCAAGATACGAATAGCAATATAGGATGCTTCCTGGAGGGCCCTGGAGCCGACTCAACACTGGTGAGCCAACGCTTTCCGTAGAGCGTCTTGACTCAGGGGGGAAAGTCGGGGGAGTGTGTGTAGGTGTGCGTTTGTAGGTGTGTGCAGGTGTGTAGGTGTGTGGTTGTATGCGGTCCTGTCTATTGCGACCCACCATCGCACCTTACGAACACATGTGAGTGGTATACGCGGGATTGCGTGCGAGTGTGTGTGTGTGTATGCGAGTATGTGATTGTCCGTCGTGTGTATATCTGTATGTCTCTGTGTGTACGTCTCTGTTTGTCTGTGTGTGTTTGTGTGTGCGTGTGTGTGTGTGTTTTTGTCTGTAAGCGCGCTCCTGCTGGACTTGCCCGCCGCCGCGCGCATGGCCGCGACGCCAAATGTTTGTGTGTATTGTTGTCTGCGTTTGTTTTTGTGTGTGTGTGTGTCTGTGCCTGCGTCTTCAGTGAGTGTGCTTGTATTTGTGTGTGTGCTTGTGTGTGTGCGTTGGTGCGTGTGTGTGCTTGTGCGTGTATTTGTGTGCGTTCGCATGCGAAAAGTGTGTGTGTATGTGTGTCTGTGTGCGTATGTCAATGTGTGTATGTGTGTGTATGTCCATGTCTGCGTCTTTTAGGTGATTGTGTCTGTATATGTGTGGTCGTGTGTGTGTGCTCTTGCGTGTGTGAGTGTGCGCGTTCGTGTGTAAATGTGTGTGCGTGTTCGTGTGTTGTGTTCGTGTGCTTCTGCGTGTTTGTGTGTGTGTGTCTCGTGCGGGTGTGGGTGTGTCTGTGCGCGTGCGTGCCTGTGCCTGTGTATGTGTTTTATGCGTGAAAGCATGTGTGTGGCTGTGTGTGTGTGCCTGCGTGCTTGTCCCTGTGGTGCAGTCGTCTCGCACGGTTGCCAGCGCCCTTGTCGAGCGCGGTGGGGAGAGCCTGCGATGCGACAGGGGACATCAGCAGCAGCGGCGGCGGCGGCGGGAGTGGGAGCGGGGCGGGCGGCGGACGGCCCAGCGAGCGGAAGCCATGCCGCTGCTCGCTTGGCCGCAGGGTGGAGGCGACGTGTCCCGGGGGAACTGCACGGCGACGCGCGCGCCTCTCCGGGGCCTCGGCGCGCGGGATCCTGGCGCGCTCGACCTCGGGGGCCCCCACGCGGTGTGGCGACCACACCGCGCGGCGAGTCCGTGGGGATTCGGGGTCACCGCACGGCTTTGGGACCCGCGCCGTTCTCCGAGGACGTCTCGGGCGACAGTGGCCTCCGGGGTCCCCCGACACGGTGCGGTGACGGACCGTGCGGTGAGGTCTTGGGGGATTTCGAGGTCACCGCACGGTCCGTCACCGCACCGTGTCGGGACTCCAGATCGACCGCGCACCGGAGCCCCGAATCCTCGGGGGTGACTCGGGTCAGGGCTGACGCGGGCTCGCTCTTCGAGAGCCCGAACCCGAGTTGCCCCGGGCCCGAGCTGCCCCGGATCACTGGGGCGTCCAGGGCCCCGAATTATCATGGGTAACTCGGGTCAGGGCTGACTCGGGTTCGTTTTGCGGGAAGCCAGGCCCGAGTTGCCCCAGGCCCGAGTCACCCCAGATAACCTCTGGCGTCCGAGCGCATCTGTGCGGGCTGGAGCGGGGGGAGGGGGAAGCCCGCGGCGAGCGAGGGGGGGCAGTGAGAAGGGGCGGGCCTTCTCAGAAGACTCGGAAGTCCTCGGGCCTCCCGAGGAGTTTTCTGAGCTTT